TCAAATTGTGGTCATTCATGTAGGAGTCTACCACTTAAACTACCACGCTCCCTGCTGGTCTCCTGTCCTGTATTTTCTTAGTAAAGTGGTCAGCTATACATTCTGAAGCCATTTTCAACTTATCTCTGTCTTACAGTTCTCAAACCCTGTCACTCTCCAAGTCCTGTTGATTCTCTTTGAAGTACCTTTCTTTTCCAATCCCATTGCCACCTCACTGGTTGGTTCAGAACTCTTACTTCCCTAGGGGGAAAAAAAGATGGCATCTGTTAGCTATTCCTAACTCCCTTTCACACATTTCCACAAGATAGTCCTCATTTCACTTTCCCTAAAGGCAAATTAGCTACCTATATGTTTGTCTCTCAGCTAGATTTAGTATCTCAAAGAACTAAATTGGTTTCGCTTTTCTTCTTTCTTTGTGTCCAGTACAGCACATTCTCTGGATATATGAAAAATGCTTGTTGATTTCACTCGTAAGTTTCTCTGGCTGGTAGAAAGAAAGTCATCCTTTCTCTAAGGTGAAGACCATTGCAAAAAAGTTGAGGGCTAGGGAACCAGCAGTTAGCGTAATGGCTATGTCGCTGGACTCCCACGTAGTCGACTGCGGTTCGTGTCACAGACCCAGTGGCTTAAAACTCACGCCGGGCACGTGTGCGTGCATGCCCAAGATCCTGAGAGGAAAATGGAGGAGAAGGGATTGCGGCGTGACCACCCCCCCCGGGTGGGGTGATTTCTCGCTTTCTGTCTCTATGTCTCTCTCTGTCTGTCTGGCGAGCGCACGCGCCCTACAGTGAAAATCTCTCTCAAAAAAAAAATAAGTTGAGGGCACGCCTGGCACGTGGGCGTGCATGCCCAAGATCCTGAGAGGAAAATGGAGGAGAAGGGATTGCGGCGTGACCAGCCCCCCCGGGTGGGGTGATTTCTCGCTTTCTGTCTCTATGTCTCTCTCTGTCTGTCTGGCGAGCGCACGCGCCCTACAGTGAAAATCTCTCAAAAAAAAAAATAAGTTGAGGGCTAGAATGGCAATGGAGATTTAGCTCTTCTCTTCTCTCATGAATATAAAATATTCCTAATCTATGATGCCTTTGGTGAGTGTGGCTCAACTCATGTGAATCTGTGACATTAAAATGCATGTCCTGATCTGGAAACACATCACTATAGAATATGGTCCATCCACTCATCCTACAAATAGTGGTGGAAAACATGAAACACGTAGCAGACCCTTAACAAATAGATTCCGTCTCTATTCTGTCAAAACACTCAGTCTAATAGAGACAGACAAATATTTATGTGCCCATAAGGGACGTATAGCTGATCAGGTGAGTGCAAAGTACTTTAATCCCCGAAAACAGATTCTCTCTAAGGAAAAGGCCTCATTCAAAGTGATGGTGAGGCTCTTTAGACAATGCACTCAGTTTATAGGGGATTCTGTGCTGTATTTTCCTGTTTTTCCCTTCTCAGCTTATTTACTTAATTATTTCATGGAGATGGGGAGCACCCTGGACAGGGGTTTGCCACTCCGTGATCCTGCTGGCAGCCTCCTAGCTAGCCAGAACTGCAGGCTCATGTAGACATCCCTGGCACATTCAGGTTAACAGATGATCTGAACTCAGGCCTCCCATGTGGCCCCAGCACTGCATAGCAGCACCCCACTGCCTGCACATACCATTATTGATATATCTAGCCTTCTGCATAAGGCAGCCCAGACTACTGGAATCTCCTGTTTCATGGAGCCCTTTGGGCCAAAAATGAGAAAATGAGCATGGAAGTAACAGCTTGAATATCCACTTTCTCAAGCTTTGGTTTCTTTGCTTTTGTGCACAGGTTACAAGATGATTATGCCTGAACAAAAACAGAAGGTACATATTGACAGGAAACAAAAGCACGTTAAACCGTGGAGATTTCCTCTTACATAAACCTGCCATTTGTTAAGCAGTTGCTCTCTATTCTGAAGGGGAGCTGGCAACAACTTGACGCGCAAGCATTCTCCAACTATGCTGGGAGGAGTAAGTAAGGGAAAGGCCTTTTTAAAAAGGATAGAAGAGGAGATGAAAGATCTACCCAAGGACTTATTCAAACCTAGAGCCTACCATTGTAGAAAATGTTACTGAGTGTCTATATCACCTATATTCAGGGAAAG